GTATGGGTCACTTGGCCCCCATTTACAAATAACATTAAACAAAAAGTTTCTTCTTTAATTACATTAAAAGTTAAACCAAACACTTCACCTTTCTTTGTAAAAGCTAGGAAAATACCATATGCGTTATTACCAAAAGTGGAACAAGAACTTACGAAGCTAGAAAAGGAAGGTATTTTAGAAAAAGTTAATAGTTCTGAATATGCTACACCTATCATCATCAATTAGCCTATATTTGTCCACTGCTGAACGTAGGCCTACACTAAAATTTTCCACCTATTTCTATATTGAGCTTCTTGCATCCAGTTTGTGGTGATGCGCTTGATATCATCCGTCCATCTAGTCGGTGGTCGTCCTCTACTTTGATATGCCACTTGCCTTGGTCGCCATTCCAAGATCTTTCTGGTTCATCTATCATCCGTTAATCTGGCAAAATGTCCGGTCCAAGCTCATTTAGCCCTGGCTATTTTTTCAACTGCATCTGTGACTCCTGTTCTTCTTCTTATTTCTAGGTTTGGTACTTTATCTCTGATGGTAATACCTAATATTGATCTTTCCATAGCGCGTTGTGTAACTCTTATTTTATCTATTCTTATTTTTGTCAAAGTCAGTGTTTCTGCATCATATGTATACCATGGACAGACAAAGTCACCAATGAAGAAGTACGGCGGAGAATGAACACAACTACGGATTTGGTCAACATCGTGAAGGGCCGCAAGCTGCAGTACTTGGGCCATATAATGAGAAATCAAGGCAGATACGAACTACTTCAATGCATTTTACAAGGTAAAATTGAAGGAAAAAGGGCACCAGGACGAAGAAGAATATCCTGGCTTGCTAACCTGAGAGCATGGTATAGAAAGACCTCAACACAGCTATTTCGTATAGCAACCAACAAAGTCATCATAGCCAGAATGATCGCTAACGTTCGGAACGGACAGGCACCCTAAGGAGAAGAAGAATGTAAGAGCTGGTAAAACGCACTAGTTAGAAACTTTTCTTTTTAAACAAACTGAGATAATAGACTTGAAAATGTTATTCAATCTACCAAAGGCAGCCCATGTGAGACCTATCCTTCTTTGTATTTCAGTTGTCTGATTCTCTCGGCCTAAGCGAATCTCATGCCCTGGATATTTGTAAACTATTACTTGGTCGATGCTATGGCTCTCAATCAGAATTTTACCGCTGACTACAAGGTTAGTCATAAATTTTGTGTTTGAGGTGTTAATTTTAAGACCAATTGTTTTTGACACTTTTGCAGCATTTTTGTAGCTTTATTAACTCTATCAGATATAAAAACGATGTCATCGGCAAATCTTAGGTGGTTCAGATCTTCCCCATTTATAGAACAGCTGTAAACAATTTACACTGCTGTTTACACCCATAGTACCAGTTATTAAAAGTAATGGTCAAGTAAGGATTTGTGTAGAGTTTAAAAGTACACTTAACAAGCATTTAGTGGTAGACGAATACCCATTGCCTACAATTGAAGCTCTATTTTCTACCATGGCTTGTGGAGATAAGTTTACAAAGCTTGACTTACAACAAGCATACCTACAAATGGAAGTACGCTCAGAGGAAATACTTAACACATAGTACAACTGGTGTCAGTCCTTCAAATTTGATGTTTGGAAGATGTTTGAGATCCGAACATGATTAGATTTATTGAAACCGTTTTACAAAACACCTGTATAATCCGACAAGCGAGAGCTGGCGGGTGAGCTGTGCGAAAATAAAAAAGGAATTATTCTAAGAGAGATAAGAGAGGTACTTAATCGCGATTATAGGTATATAGTATAGGTACTTAAACAGTTATACACGATGTGAACTCCTAGCCGACTGCAATAGAAATGAGCAATCCCTTCCACTTGTCAATTTGTTCTACACGCAACCCGCCAGCTCTCGCTTGTCGGGTTATACAAAATCAAAACAATCTCAAGGTAAGAAACTTACGAAGTAGGAGAGAGAGTAGAGACTCATGGTTACATACATGCTAATGAATGGAAATTTGGAAGAGTCAAACGTAAACTAGGGAAATTACACTACCTTATACAGTTAGACGATACAAGAACATGGAAGAGACATATATATCAAATCAGATCTATAGGGAAAATACACCTGTATACATTATTATACAACCGACACATTTTGACCTGGGTAGTAATCAAATTATTACAAATACTTTTGCGTCAAATGAAGCAACACCATGTTCTAGTTCGGTTCAAGATACAGATGCACATTATTCAAGTAATACTTCAACTTGCTTAGCACAAATACTAGATACTACAAATACTGCAGCTAGCTCAGATGACGCCACCGTACTACGAAGGTCCAACGGGTGATAAAAAACTCTAGGCCTGGACTTGTAAGTATTATTTTTTCATTACTTACGGAGTTACGTTGTAAAATCGACGAAAAATATTAAATAGATAGCCAAGAAGCCACACACGTTTTTAATTAGTGAAATAAAGGAACAAAAAATATATTCAACGCCATTTACATTACACGTACATATACAACAACAAAGATCACCCTTACGAATATGATTTGACTTTGAGAATGTAATCAGCTAGGGTATTTACTCTTTGAGATTATTTCTAAAGGTCATTTGGAGTTCAAAATGGTTTCTTCATGAAATCAGCATTTTTTTCTTCATACCAGAGGTCTACATTTTTTCAAAGATGTATACCAATGTTTGGTAAGACATAAAATAATTGTTGGGATCGCTGTTTCCGAATTAGTGGTCATTTAATATCTGTCAAATCGAGTTCGAAGACATTTTAAGGTTTATCTTAAGTAAGCTGAAGGTCATCTCAATGTTATATTGAGAATGAGAATTTATAAAATCGAAAATATAGATGAAATCCGAAACGTCGCTTTAAAACAGCCATCAGAGAATCACCAGCAATGTTACTGGAGGTTTACGATACATGCCTCAAGAAGGGTACTTTTCCGCACATATGGAAGCAACAAAGATTAGTGCAGAGAAACCATAATTTTATGGTCCACTCTTTATGCTGGATACAGCTGGCAAGATATCAGAACGAATAGTTTATCAAAGAATCGAAGCAGCGCTGGCGCTGCTCAACAGCAATCAGTAAGGTTTTAAAAAAGGGCACTCTACACCAGATGCGATTAATCTTGTCGTTAACACAACTAAGGAAGCGGTCGCATATATCAGATGGAAGAGGGATACAGAGAGGTACTGTCTGGTGGCAAGACATGAACAATACTTTTAACTCCGCCAACCCCAATTGCATTATGTGAGCTTTTACCGAAATGAGGGTACCAGTATACCTAAGGAAGATGTCTAGCTACTTCACTGTTCGACTTTTGAAGTATGTCATAAAGTCTGGCCCGATGGAATATAAAATCACTGAAGGAGTACCACAGGACTTTGTGCTGCGTCCTCTTTTATGGAATATATATCTATGATGGGTTGTTAAAGCTAGAATTACCAAGGAATGCTAGGCTCGTGGCATACGCCGATGACGTGCTTGTGGTGATTCTCACAAAGCACCTTGACGAAATAAATCTCACGTTCGACATATTTTTCGAGAGAATCTGCCAGTGGATGAACTTTGTTAATTTAAAACTAGCGAAGCATAAAACTGAGTCAGTGCTTATTATTAGTTGGAAACCGTAACACTGAGCATCGGAGAACATGAAATCACATCACTACCATCTCTTCAGTACTTGGGAGTGCTTATTCCTGCTAGACTCAGCCTCAACCAGCAAGTGGAGCATTTCAGTGCTAAAGCTTCAGTAGTAAAAGCAGCCTTGTCACGGCTAATGCCGAATGTAGTAAGCTCAAAACAAAGCAGGTGGATGGTATTACCGTAATTGTATTTGTTTTATTGGAGTTTGTTTTTGTTAGTGGACTTAGTTAGTGTAAGAATTTACGGTGTGTGTATGGGGGGTGTAGTTATTTATAAATTGTTGGATTTTTCAATTGTTTTGTAGTGATTAAATTTATTTATATAGTTTATGTTATTTTAGAATGAGAATGAGGAAGTATTTTGTCATTGTGTTTGGTTATTAGTTAAGGTTGTTATGTTTTTGGGATGGTATGAATAATATTTATGTATATTTATTAAAGAATTATTAATGGAAAGAGGTGAAGGAATATGGACATGAGCGTAATTTGAATGGTTTGGCTTTTATGAATAATGATAGGGTATATAATTATTATTTTATGTTGGGGTAGGAGGATTTATTTTGTAAATTAGGGAAAATGTGGTGGTAATATGGTTCGTGTTGTATTTATAATTTAGTAGATGTATAGAGGTGTATGATTATGATTTTTTTTTGGTAGGTATTAAGAGAATTATTTTTTGGATATTATGTGGATTTTTGTAAAAGTTGATATTTATTGGGTATTGTAAGGTTAAGGTTTGAGATAATTGTTATGTTGTGGGGAGTGTTGTTGTAGTATGGAGTTTGGTTTTTTGGTTATTTGGGGGTTTAGTAGGTTGGATGTTTTGGGTGGGGGATAAGTGTTGGTGTTTTTGAGTTTTGATAGGGTATAGTAATTATGTTTTTGTTATTTGTGATTTGGGGTTTTGTTTTGTTTTTTGATGGGGGGAGGATATATAATGGAGTATGTGGATTTGATTAGGGTTGGGGGGTTGGTGAGAGTGTAGTGGTAGGGGTTAAATGGGGGGTAGGGTGGTTGGGGGTTGGGGGTTATAAAGTGTTTTTAAGTAAGTTCAGTTGCGCAAAAGATATAGATTTTTTACCGTCAGCGTCGAACCGTTCTCGAGTTCAATTTTCAAATGCTTTTTTCCCATCCAAAAAGTGCACAACGTCGCTAAAGAAGTTTTCACGTCAAAACAATAAAATTGATATGCCACTTTACCAAAAAAGTTACCAATAATTTTACATCACAAAAACCAGGACTAATCTATAATAGAAAATTTGCTAAAATAATCTTTTTTTGTTTTAAAATTGACATCTCCATTTATTGAACCACAAAAATATGTTAAAAAAACTACATCGTATTTGTAAAAAAACCATTTAATATCGAAATATACAAATTTTATACAATCAATCTCTAACTTTTGGAATTAATAGTTGGAGATGAGACCAATCCCAATTCACCAGACTCCAACTGTTTCAACAACCTGAATAAAGCTGCAGCCTCACGAATACGACTGAATTCGATGCAGAAGGCCTGTACTTCAATGAACAATTCTTGAACATTGATTATCTTATTTCTTATAAGTGATTGTAAAAATACACAAACTAACCGCACCAATCTATTCTGCATATATCGATCTTTAATAGTTTCGCAAGTAGATATACAATTCGATATATATAAGTGAACAAATTCTGTGGGAAGATCTACAGTTGTGGTAAGTCGATTAACAACTTCCATGGAATGTAAAGACATTTCCATGTTTACAAGAACAGAGAAATACTCTGTTATTTGCTTAGATTGCATTAGCTTCAGAAGAACTTCTATGGCTATTAAAGGATTATTTTCTACAAGATCAGGCAACTTTCTGGGTGTTAAACCAATATGGTAAACTAGTTTTGGATCATCTTCTAGTTCACCAAGCAACTGTTGCTGTTGTTGAATTGATAGAGCTGACTTATAAGCTTTATTCATGAGTTGTCGCGCTTCATAGCCAACTGTATCAGGGACACACATGGTTATATCGTAGGCAACAGTATGTTCTTTTGGTGTCGTTGGATTTAACCAGACAGGTTCGTCTTTACAATTTAGTAAAGGTGGAGCTAATGTTACAAACTCTGGTTTGTATACTTTGTTCACTGGTGCGTTATCAGATGTTACTATTTTTTTAATTATAGTATCATCTTTTGTGGTGTCAACAGTGTAGCTATTATAATTTTTCTCTGGCAATGATAACACAACTGGAATTCCTGTCTTACAAGTTTGAGGTAATTCAGATTGTTTTTCTGCTAGAGTCAACTGAATTGCTGAGAAATCGGCATTCACCTAAAATCAAAATAAAATTATATAACACTTAAAAAAGAATATATATATATATATATATATATATATATAATATATATATATATATATATATATATATAATTATTTTAAGGATAAACTATTTTCTTAATCAAATTGCAGAATAGCATGGACAATATTATAGTTGATGATTGATAGCTGACTTTTAAATTAGATGACTCTCCCTATTCGCCATTAAAAGGAATCAACTAGTTGACGACTAATAAGTGCATTGTGATGGGCTGGAACTCCATCAGTAGGAAGTACTTGATGAAATGCAAAGAAACATTCTTCCAAATAATGAAAATAACTTATGACATAAAAAGTGGACAGTCAGTATCAAATAAATAACTTTACAAGAAAAGAAGATATATTTAAAGTTAACAACTCCAAGAAGCAGTTAGTGAGACTGTAAACCACACATAACTTGCTTGTGCTGGATATTGAAGTAATAAGTAAAACGAAATTAAAATACCGGCAGGATACCCAAAAAATAAATCAAGAAAAGCTAAAATTGCAGAAAGAGAGGTAGGTCTAACGAAGATTTTCAAAATTGCAACATTACCAAAAAAGAAGCTAGAGGCTTTTGTGTAATGTATGCGTTGTGTAAATGCTTACTAATTAAAGTTGATTATCTTAAAAAAGTTCCCATATTATATTTGAGTAACTGCTAAAAGTCTGCTGGATTGAATCCACAACTCACTGAGTTTGCACTAACAGATTAGGATTCTACCCACTGAGCTATGTAGATAAAAATATTTTGTTAAATTTCATTTAACAATTTTACTTTAGAAATGAATAAGATATATTTTTTTATAGTATAGCTTGGACCATTACTCAAATAGGCAATGCTATACGATACATAAAGTTAATCTGTACTGTGTGTGTTGAGTAAATGCCAGTACAGTCTATAACTATACATTATATCGTAACTAATATATCTATATATATATTGTAATAGTTTTGTTTTTATTATTTTTATGTTTTATTGTTAATAAATATAATTTTAATTGAATTGAAGTGAATTTTAAAAGTATGTAGTTCGTTGTTAATATACTATACCTCGGCTAGCTCAATTATTTGTTCTAAGCAATCTGTCACTGTGTGACGTCAACTCTGTAGTCTCCTGGTAGAGTTCAACAAGAAATTAAACCAAAATTTACTTTATATTTTGATAAATTAACCCAAATGAAGCACGTTATTTATTAATATTGAACAAATTTAATATAAACAATAAAATTCGTCTGCAACTTGGGTTGCCTTTAAAAATTTACAAAATAGGAATCGTGTAAACCTTAATGTGTCGTGAAATAGAATTTGATTACAAAATGTGGAAACTCTCTACAAATACCTTAAATCTAAATGACTAATGCAACTTTATAAAGTGTTTAAATGAAATATAAAGAAAAGAAAACTGAACACTTTATGCCGCTGACTTATAACTAGCATTAAAATATAATCAAAATTTCAAATGATCCCCAAAATTATTATCCAAACTCACTTTCAAACAGTTCTGATTTTTTTTTTTAAAGAAAACTAACTACTCGCAAAATAATCGGTGATACTGGAATATCTATCCTCTCTTCGGAAGTTAAAGGTACGTACTATTATATTTTTATTTTAATGATCATTAATATTTCAATTTTTAAGGCCTATCGCAATTAGTTAATTCATGAATTTTTACTTTTTCAATCTAAATGACATTTCTGCACTCCAATTATAATTTATAAGTCAAAATTTCTCTTACTCTCTGGAACAAATTCTGGATATCTCTATTTGAAAATGTGGAAAAACTAAATTATAATTAAACGATTTTAAAGCACTCCGGACTATTCCACCTTTTTAGGGCTCTTCCTCCAAAATTTTCGTCGCCTCCAACAACCTATTCCTCCTTGTTAACCGCCATAGCTAGCACCCACTACCAAAATTATTCGTTGCTAACAGCAACCCCCTTTCTTTTTTCATTCCGTCTTCTATTTTATTCAACCATAAAACTGTCCTGTTTTGACATATTTGTCAAACCACATTAATTTCTCATAAGCACTTTAATCACATCTAATTTGAGAATTTATAAAAAAAAAATTCAGATATAAAACTTAACAATACTAATATAATTTATTCTTTTCATCTCCACATCATTGTAATTTATTTAACAAAACCCCTATTAATTTAGTTCCCACAGACTTTTGACAGTTTATTTTTCTGACGTTTATTTTTAAATTTCTATGTTTAAATAATTTTTTAAGAATTCTTCTTTTTTATTCCTTTTAAGGTTTAGACGATTCACCTATACACTAGGCAACTATACTATTCAGAAATTATTAACACTATACCAGGTAAGTCAAAATTAATTTATTTAGCAATTTACTAATCTTTTCTCCCTTTTATTTCAGAGTCGACCCCACATTGTGATGGCTTCATGAAATTCATGAACAACAAACTCATATAAAAATCCCTTTAAGTTATATCCTCTTTGACATATTGAAATCATTTCAACTTCCCCCAATTTGGATTTTGTTCAGTGCTAACTATCAGCACTTACTAAATCTAAATTCTTACCGATAACTTAAACATTTTATTAATATTAACATAACAATAAACTGACTTTTATTAATAAGCATATCTCTTGAATATTTTTTTTTTTAATAATTTACTCTATGAAAAATACAGACTTCTCCAAACAAAATCTACAAATCTTTCACTAATTATATCAACTTCAGAATCAAATTTCCAAGTACTTTCCAATTTCATTACTTCTTTTCCTGTACTATTTATTTCTCGTACTAATTTCGTAGAAATTCTTATAATTGTTCCCCTCTTTATTTTATGTTTTATTTATTTATTTATTTCCGCATATACTATTTCAGTATCTTTATTCATTGCCGCATTATTATTTATTCTTTTTATATCCCCATATAATATTCATTTCATCATCTCTACATACAACTCTCTATATTTCATATTTCAATATTTCATATAATTCTATTTTTCATCTTATTTTCGCATATACTATTTATCATTATAATATTCCCTATTTCCCAATTTCTACAAAATATCGATTTGTCCATAGTACTTTGCTTATTTATTTATACTTGTAACTCCTATAAATCTACTTGAAAATAAATCAACCTTTTTTGTTTATATAAATTTATCATTATTCTGTACATTTGTTCCTAATAAATTATTTAATTATCAAATTTATCTCAAGATATGCTTATTTATTAATTATCCTTCTATTTACAAAACTTATATCTTATAATACCAAATTCGTGTCATAATATTGCATTATTTAAATTATTCACAATGTTTTTGTTGATTAGAGTTACTTCTGAACCTGTATCTATAATAATAACTTGTATACTGAATCTTGTATGTACCCTTCAATAAACTTTAAAGTATTAGTGTTATTATTTTTATTTAATTCCCCAGTATCTCTAATAAACTCCCTTGGATGTTCATACTTTGATAAGTAGACAATATTATGCACATAGGAGCGGTCTAAGCAAAATTTCTCCCTTCTGCATCAACACTTGCTTCCCCCTATTCTCCTCTGTTCTAACTACATTCACCTGTCTTCTCTCCTCATTTTCCCCCCTATTATATCTTGGATTCCCTTCTCTGTAAACTTCCCTATTTCTCGTCTCCTGTGGATAATTTCCCTGGTTCTGTCTCCAATTATTGCCTCTGTCATTCCCTTGTCTCCAGTTATTCTCTCTATCATTGTTTGGATTCCCTTGTCTACGTTCCCAGTTATATCGTCCGATATCTCTCCTGACATTGTTCAAATTCTCTCCCCTATTTGTAAAATCCCTGCTTCTATTTTGTCTCTCAAATTCTCTTTCCCTATAATTATTCCCTCGATTCACATATCCCTGTCTATTTGCTGTGTTATTCCTATATGTCACTTGCTCTTGTCCATTTCGATTCTGCGTCCCTACACTCCTCTCAATCCTCTGAAGATATCCTGTCAAACTTTCCATCGTCTTTATATTGTGGAGAGCTATTGTTTCTGCCATGTTATGGTTATATTGCCTGGCAATGTATAGGACAATCTCCTCTTCTCGCATAGCCGGTTCTAAATATTGTGCTGTCTGGAATAACTGCATTGCGTACAGATTGTAGTTGGTACTTTTTTCATAATTGAATTTCCCAAAATACAACCGCTCCTGAAACTAGCCTGTTGGTTTTCTCCCCAAAAATAGTTAATAAACTTGGCCTCAAATTCCTGCACATTATTTATGGAATTTTCATTATTGCAAAACCATAATAATGGCATGCCCACTAACATGTTTCGAATATTCAATTTCATTTCTATTGGATCCCTTACATTCTTTACCTTATTTTTGATGATATCTACAAATATTCTAGGATGTAAGTGATTCAGGTTTCCATCAAACTTTATTCCCCCATCATTATAACTCGGCACCACAGTACTCACTACTCTTGTTTGTCCTAGATTTGATTCCAAACGCTGAATCTCCTCACTTGCATTTTTAAATTTCTCTCTCAATTCCTCAACTTGTCCCTGTAATACTCTATCTCCCTTTTCCGCCTGATTTGCATGCATACCCATTTCCAGTTCCAAATTCTGCAATCCCTTCTTTATATTATTTTTTATAATGGTAATTTTTTCCTCATAATCCTGAGTTTGCCTTTTAACACTTTCTACCTCCCTAACAATCTCTTTATTCTGCTTATTAACTTCTTTGTTTATTTCCATTGGTAAATTCTCTTTAATGGCTGTTCCAACTCTACAAATCTGCTCCCAATTTCCTGTCCTATTTCCGCTCTAATTATGGCCTTTTCTCTGGATATCTCCTCCTGTACATTCCTCTTAAAATTCTCACTTTCTCCTCTGACCTGTTCTACTTTCTCTTCTAAACCTTGGGTAATTTGTAGCATCTCTTCCCTGACTATCTTCACTTCTTCTTTGATTTCTTCCCTCATTTTAATTAACTCTTCCCTAAGTTCTCCTTTAATATTAT